ATAATTTAATATTTACATAAAATAAATAAATATTAAAATTATTTTTTATTTATCACTTTCACATCTATTCAACACGATGTCATATATTATGTTAGGACAAATGAGGTATTTGCTTCACTCCTAAAATTATAGTAATCCAATTCATCTAATAGGTATATGGGGTAATATATAATTAACCAGATAAATCTCTAATTATTATTTTCAGATAGGTTCTGTGAACTAGCATTCAATTATGCCTAACCAAAACCATTATTGAAGTGTACAGTGGCATCTTCCCTATCACCGACCTGCCCATGGCAGCACCGGCTTTTCTTGACCAGAGCGAAGACCCTACTTGAACTGGAAAACACGGATGAAGAACACAGCCATGGCTTTGCTGCTCCCACTCTCAAATGCTTGCCATTATATTGCAGTTTCTGCCATGGATTTGGACCGCAAAGAAGGTCGAAATGACGATGATGATAATGATAGCGAAGTAGGAAGAGTTTGTGGCTCACAGGCATGCATAAGCGGAGGAGCGGACAGGGTCACAGGTGTAGAAGGACATCTAGCAAGAACATACCAAAGAAGTACTAGCTAGTGAGCTGACCTGGATTACCTACTCCCCCTCTTTAGTCTGTCCTACATACTGTTTCTTCTGTGCAACCCACGCACTGTCATCTAAGCAGTCTGAATCACCCACTGTCAATTTCACGTGCAGTCCACCAGTGAATGTTGGAGCTTTGATGATGGCAAGAGGTCATTGGTCTCTTCGTTATCTATTTGATTACTTACTACGATGAAACCGTAGGATATCATGGAGGAAGGAGAAGAGGAGAAGAAGAAGATGATGATGAAGGAAGGTGGCTTATACGATAGAACTGTAAGAAATCATGGAGGAAGGAGAAGAGAAGAAGATGAAGGAAGGTGGCTTACCGACTGTGGCAGACCTGAAGGTGGTCCATCCGTCCACCACACTCCTGCTAGCCTTCACCACCGTCTTTCCGATGCCGTCGCCGATCAACAGCAGGTTCGTCTTGCTCTTCCCCACCTCCACGTTCTCGAAGTACGCCCCCGCCTTCACGTAGATCACGAACCTCGTGTCCGTGTTATTCGGCGCGGCCGCCACCGCGTCGCTTATCGTCGTGAAGTTGCCGCTCCCGTCCTTGGCCACTTCCAGGTCCGGGATCGTGGCGTTGGTCGGTGCCTGCAGCAGCTTCCGGTCCTTCGCAGACACCCAAGCCGGGAACCCCTCCGACACCTCCCCGTACCCCTCCAGCGCCCCGCGCCGGGGCCGCGACGCCCGCCGCCGCCGGATCCTCTTTACCATAGCGAGGGAGTTGCTGACGAGGTGGGACACGTGGTAGAGCCGCCGCTCGATGGCAGGGCGATAGCCACCACCGCGTCCCACGTAGGCGAAGCCGTCGAGGCAGGTGTACTGGTTAGTGATGGCGGCGGAGAGTACCGTCTGGACGTCGTCGACGTGGGCGGCGGGGTCGGCGGCAAGGGCCGCGGAGGCGGCGCCCAGCTCGTCAAGGGTCTGCGAGAAGAGGTCGAGGCAGTCGGTGACGGCGAGGCGCTGGCGGGGGTCTAGGTAGCCGCGGCGGTGGAGGAAGTTGGTACAGTTCTTGGCGGCGTTACGGACAGCGGCGGCGGTGGTGTTGACGGAGGCGCAGATGACCTCGGGGAGGGACTTGGCATGCAAGTCCGGGATGGTAGAGAGGGTGGAGACGCAGAGGTCCGGGTACAGGGTGCCGTCGCAGTGGTCTGCGGCGGCGGTGGCTTGGAGGCGAGAATGTACATGGAGCTGGTGGTGGTGAGCCACTGGTTTCGGCACAGTGGGCAACGCTAGTAGCAGCAAGAAGAGTGAAGCGAAGAGGATGCATGAGAGGAGGAGTTTGTTTCTTCCTCTGCTGCTACTACTAAGTGTTGACACGGAGGTCATCTTTAGAACGGGGAATGGCGACTGTGGCTCGAGCAGAGAAGAGAAGAGAAGCCAAGCGTGGAAAGCGAAGGGGGTGTAAGGTGTCAGCTTTTATGTATGGTAGATGGAGATCTCATCTCACTCGCTTGTGGTTGGTGATTGAAGTAAAGAAAGGATAGAGAGAGAGAGAGAGACGGGAGTAAAGGGCAGAATCACGTGAATTGATTGATTGCATGTTGAAGACAAAAGAAAGAAAAGGACGGCAAAAATGCAAGATAAGTATAATAATGAACCGACATAGTTTAGCCTACCAGTGTTGACCTGTTTGCTAACTTTTACTCTAATTTTTTTATCCTATATACAGTAAAATGGAAATCAGACCGGAGGCAGAAAATTGAGATTAAATGTATAACACAAGCCAAATAAAATGATGAATATAATATTACATAAATTTTAATTAGATAACGATCAAAGAGAGATGAATATATAGATATAAGATCCGAACCCACAACAATGTTATGATGTTATCTTAAAATTTTTATTACTCGAATTCATGCATAAATTTAAGCTTATGAAATTATTGATCATTCAAATAAAATCTATACTGAGCC